CCCCCCCCCCAATGTTTTTCAATATCTACTTCAGGTTGTTTTTCTTTTTAAAGATAAAAAACTTTACAGATGTAGTTGAAGGTCATTGCAAACCATCCCAATGGTTTATTCCATTCTCTCCCATGAATGTTTTCTTAATCTTACTACATATTTATGTGTACATAAACTAAATACTTAATGCTTTAAATTTTGTATCAACATATTTGCATTATGCAACTTTCATTATTCAATATTTTTAAGTTTTAGCCATTTTATAAACACATGCCAACATATTTATTTTTCTATTATTGAACATTTATTCCCAATGCTTTTCTGTCATAAAAAAAGGCTTCAATGAATGTTCTTACCCATGTTTCTTTAGATACATTGCTTAGGAGAGGTTGGTTGGGTTGTAGAGAATGTTCATCTTCAACTTTATCAGATGCGGCCAAATTGCTCTCCAAAATGGTTGTGTCACAAGAACTTCTGTTACTCCACATTTTCCCCAACACTTGGGATTGTCAAACTTTTAAATTTTTACCATTTTAATGGGTGTAAAATGGTGTCCATAGTTTTCACTTCTTTGAATACATAATGTGGTATACATCTTTCTTATGTCACAAACATTCAGTTTCCTCTTTCATGAATAGCCTATTTTTCTGTTTTTAGAGGTTTTTCCCCTGTTTATCGAGTATACTGGTTAGAAGCTTTAAGTCTTAAAATTTTATTTTAATTAATGAAGTCTCAAAACAATTTCCATTAAACCAGTTACACTTTGACAATGGAAGATGTATTTTAAAATTAGTATAATACTAGAACGTTTAATGTATTTATATCCTAGCACTGGGATAAAAATGTAACTTTCTCTTGGGAGGTGTAGAACAGTGGGTTCTTTACAATTTTGATTTTCAGATTTATGCTGGATTGAATATCTTCTTTGGAATGGCAAGTATTGGATTACTCACAGTTGTGGCCATGGATCGATACCTGACCATTTGCCATCCTGATGCGGGTACAGCATTTTTCTCAATGAATTCCTATCTTGTCTAAGTACCACTTGACACACATTCACTTTAGAATGTAAATGGGTTGCAGTCGTGATCAGTTTTATTTCTCTAACAATCATTGTTCAAAAGTTTAAATGATTTCCTATTCTACTTAGAATAACATCCAAATATCACAGCCACCTCCAAGGCCCTGCTACCCTTCTAGCTTTGGCTTGGGCCCTCTCATTTTGGGGTCCTGGCCACTCCCTTTCCCACTCTGGGGTCTTTGCAGATGCTGCTTCCTCAGGTCTGGAAAACACTTCTCTCTGGGTATCCTCCCAATGATGCTTTTATCTGTTGGATAGGCTTTGAGTGAGCTGAAGTGTTCTATAAACAATCTACTTGAGAACAACTTTGAATAATCAGTTAAAACAAAGTGGAGATATGAATTTCATTATGGGAAAATGAGGCTAATATTTCATATGTTTATTCATAGGAAGAAGAATGACCACCCACACCTACATCAGCATGATTCTGGGGGCCTGGATCAATGGCCTCTTTTGGGCTTTGATGCCTATCATAGGGTGGGCTAGTTATGCCCCAGACCCTACTGGGGCCACCTGTACCATAAACTGGCGGAAAAATGATGTGTAAGAGACACTTTCTAATGAAGTGCTTCTAATGTAGACATTTTCTCACCCTTTCAAGTTTAAGCTCAGATCAAATGTTTTCTGTACAGAGTGGCGACGGGCTTCCTTGTTGGTGGTGATGTGATTCCAAGCTTTGAATTACGCTTGTTTGCAAGTAAACGCCATCCAGCTCCCCTTGTCCCTTCCTCCGCGCCCCACTCCTACCCTGTCCTTTCTTCTCTCTTCTCTGGTGGAAAAGGGGATACAAAACACCCTTCTGATATATGCACGTTGGAGGGAGAATCTGGGAGGGATAAGGGAGTGTCAGTATCACTAGACAGCATGTAGCTCGGGCTTTCACCGAGGCTGGCTCCTTCCTATTTTTTCAAACTGACTTGGTGATAAAGTATCTTCAGAGACTCAGGCAGCAAAAGCACCATCACTGCAAGGATTTGCTTGCTACTTGGTGATGCTCTTCTCTATTTACTAGGGAAAAGAGGATAATTTAGCTTCTTAAAGAAAGTGAAAGATCACTCAGAAAAACAAATAGAAAATTTCTAACTCTCAAACTAAATCTAACTCTAAATCTCTGTACAGGGTTGACAGGTGAATATTTTGAGGCTTTAGGGTGATATTGCCTCTGTTACAACCATTCCACTCTGCCTGTGAAGCAGTCATAGACAGTATCTAAATGGATGTGGTCCCAACCCCTAGTCTAAATGGGCTAAAAGTCAAGTATACATTCTAAGCCATATAATGATATAGTGACTGCTGGATGGTGCCAGTATTATCTATATATATAAAAGCCTAAGTGACCGTTACGACCGGTCGACTTTGCCTCTGTTACAACCATTCCACTCTGCCTGTGAAGCAGTCATAGACAGTATCTAAATGGATGTGGTCCCAACCCCTAGTCTAAATGGGCTAAAAGTCAAGTATACATTCTAAGCCATATAATGATATAGTGACTGCTGGATGGTGCCAGTATTATCTATATATATAAAAGCCTAAGTGACCGTTACGACTGGTCGACCGAACGATTGGTAGACTGGTCACTATGATGCGCACTGACCACCAGGGAGCAGACGCTCAATGCAGGAGCTGCCCCCTGGTGGTCAGTGTGCTCCCACAGCCAATGTACCACAACCAGCCAACCTCCTGAGGTCCCTCCCCACAGCCAGCTGGCCTCGACTGACCCAGATCAGGACTGGTCGAGATGGCCCTGGTCGGCCCCGATCGCTGGCCAGGCTGAGGGACCACACCCATGCACGAATTCATGCACCAGGCCTCTAGTTTCAAATATTATGCTGTTTCCCTTCCCCAATTAAATAAGTAGTGATTTAGATTCCCTTTTCTTATTTTCAGATCTTTTGTTTCTTTCACGATGACAGTTATTGTGATAAATTTTATTGTGCCCTTGACTGTGATGTTTTACTGCTATTACCATGTCACTCGATCCATTAAATGTCATGCTACCAGTAACTGCACTGAGTACCTCAACAGAGATTGGGCAGATCAGGTAGATGTAACAAAGGTAAGACATTAAAATCCTTAAGATATTTTTGCAATCAAGCTTTTACACATATGTGGTCCCCTGGCCCCTGCAATCACCTCTCCTCACCCCCTTGATTCTTACTCTCTGGCTCTTTTGTCTGGTGTTTGCCTCCACAGTGTTGAACAATGTGCTCATCTGTTGTTTTGGATATTTTTGTTTACCATTACCTCCTGATTTCCTACTATGGACAATGAGAATTTATTTCTCTTACACCACCAATCTTTTCTATTCCCCCCACCCACTTTTCTCTCTCCTCATCTTCTTTGGTTAGATAAAGAGTTAATTTTACATTATTGTGATTCTCTACATTTTATTTATTGCAGATCTCTGTAGGAGTCAATGATTTGTATTTCATTTGAAAACAATTTTTATTATTCCCTTATAGTTGATGTATAACATTGTATTAGTTTCAGGTGTCCAACCCAGAGATTAGACATTTATATAACTTATGATTCATTTTTTTATAAAACATTTTTCTTGCCCTGGCCAGTGTTGCTTAGTTGGTTGGGTATTGTCCCATGCATTGAAAAGGTTGCTGGTTTGATTCTTGGTTAGGTAACAGGTTTCAGGCTTGATCCCCAGTAGGGGGCAAGCAGGAGGCAGCCGATTAATGTTTCCCTTTCACATAGATGCTTCTCTGCTTCTCTCTCTCTCTTCCTTTCCTTTGCTCTCTCTCTAAAAATCAATAAAAAAATCTTAAACACACACACACAAACTTTTTCCCCATGGAGTTAATAATTTATTTTTTCTTTCTCTTTCTCCCTCCTTCACTCTCTCCTTTTCTTGTCCTCTCCCTCCCTCCCCCTCTCTTTGCAGTTTTGTTTGCTTCCTGTTCTGTGTACCTGTCACTAATACATCTCTAATCTCTCCACCAGCAGCTTCAATTTACTCTCAGTATATTTAAGTGCATCAGGGACTTTCTCCTTTTCTTGGAATTTTGCTTCCTGGCACTTCTGGGCCTCTTGCTCTGCTCTGCATGGGCAGTTCTCTAAAACCACAGTCTGAAAGCTGGCACCTCGGGTCTCCTTCATCACCAGCTGGGAGTGCCTTCGGCCTCTCTAGGATGGATCGCCTGTGTTTGGGTTGCCTGTCTTTCTTTTCCTTGGTTACTCCCTCTCATTTGGTGGAGCACATTCTCAAGAAGATTCCTGAGAAGGTTATCGGGAGGTAAATTTCAAAGGATTTTGCCTGCCTGAAAATGTCTTAAAATTCTACTATCATATTGGCCTGATTGTTTGATGGTATACAAGTTTAAGTCGGAAAATGATTTTGAAGGCATGCTGTATAGTCTCCTAACTTCTGTGTTGCTATTGAGAAGGCTGACAGCATTCTGCTGACTGAGCCCTTGTAGCAATCTATGTGTGATCTCTGGAAGCTGTAGGAGCATCTGTGTCTCTGGTTTTCTGGAACTTCATGCTGATGTGCTTGGAATGGCTTTTTTTTCAGCCATGTGCTAGTGCTTGGTAAGTGCTTGGCAAGTGAAGAACCAGGTCCTGCCTTTAGGGGGTTCTTGTATCATTTCTCTGGTGATCTCCCACCTGCTTTGCATTCTCTGTTCTCTTTTCCTGGAACTTCTTTTATTTGGATATTTAGTCTCCTGGGTTTATCTTCTAATTACTAAAACTTTTCTCTCCTATGTTGTCCCTGTTTTGGGTTTATTTGTTTGCTTGTTTTGTTTGTTTTTGTTTCTACTTTCTGAGAGGTTTTCTCAACCTTGTCGAGATCTGGGATTGGGTGAGGAGAGTGAGGCTCAAGCCTTGGGTATAAAATTTAAGTAGGCCCCCAAAAACTCAGTAATAAGAAAAGTAGTTAATGCAGTACTAAAAAAATCAAAGTTAATGCAAAACTTAACTTTGCATTGAACATAATGCATATTGAACATAATATCAAATTTTAAATAAAGATAGGATCTGTCCCTTCACTTGCATGACTCAACTCATTGATCTTACCCTTTCTATTGCATTTAAACAATTCTGCTCTTTTTTATATATAGGGTAAAAACCATTGTTACAGATAAATGAATTATTTTATACTTTACACTCTTTTTAATAGCCTCTTCTTGTTTTATATCTTCTCTCACTTCTGTGATGTTATTATGCATATATTTCCATTTTCTTTCTGTTTACATATTTTTTGTTTCTCCTGATTTTCTGAACCGTTTTGAACTCTGCCTGTGAGTTTGCCTGTTTCCTCAGTGTCTGGTGGCCAGTGACTGTCCTTGCGTGTTGAAAGTGATGTACTAGAAAGCTGACTGTAGGCTCTGCATGGGCTCTTTTGTTGGGATGCTTCTTTGGGGGCTTTCTGACATCTGATTCTCTAGGCATTTTCTTCTGCGCTGGTCATTTTCCAAGGAGAAGATTCTTTTACATTCCTAGGTGGAACATTCAAGTCTGTCTACCTGTATGCTATGGCTCAGAGCATGAAGGGGACAGCATGCAGCACCCCCCTTTTCAGTACAGCACTCCGGCTCTCAGCTGAGCCCAGTGTCCTCAGTCCTGAGTTCCCCTGCTTTCCCCCTCCTACACTTCTGGGTGCTTTTGGGAGAGGACAGGCCTGAGTGCAGAGGGAATTCGAAAGTCTAGGTGCTTCTTTTTGCAGATTTCAGTGAGCTGTTTTAAATTCCATGGGCAGCCCCACCTTCATAGCTAGCTGTCACCACCAGTTCCTGAGACTTTCTGAGTTCTGAGCAATGTATTAGTTAGTCTATACTAGTATATGCCAGGAGTCCATAGCACAGCTACCAGAAATGGGTTAGGAATGGGTATAGATCTGCTTTTCATCAAAGCCAGCTTTTGTATTCTCCCCTAGCACACCAAAAGAAAGGAGGCCTTCTTTACATTTGTTCACATTGTATCCTCACAAGCTCTTGCTATCATAGGTGACTTCTTTATTTGCACATGAGCAAAGAGCAGTGGGGGGGGGGGGGGGGGGGGGGGGGGGGGAGCAATTCAGTTTTTCCTTTATGTCATCAATAACATAAACTTATTCAAATTCTAATCTAGGTAATTTTATGCTATTTTAGATATATTAGCTAATTAGATATTGGGTTTGGCAAATGCTGATTTCTTTTACAGATGTCTGTGATAATGATATTCATGTTCCTGGTGGCGTGGTCCCCTTATTCGATTGTGTGCTTATGGGCTTCTTTTGGGGACCCAAAGAAGATTCCCCCCTCCATGGCCATCATTGCTCCACTGTTTGCAAAATCTTCTACATTCTACAACCCCTGTATTTATGTGGTTGCCAACAAAAAGTAAGTAATGTCTAAAATGCTTCTGAACAAAATAATAGATACAGAAAGAATGTTAAAAAGGCAGTAGATAATATTGTAAGACTTCTGGGGAGGTGAGTGACAGAAACTCACTTTGAACTAGTGTAAAAGTTATTTGACTCATGCAACTGGAAACCTCAAACGCCCAGAGCTCCAGTTCTGTGACAGGTTCTTCCCACATGGAGACAAGATGGTCACAAGCAACCCAAAACCCAAGTTCTACCAGCTAAGCAGCTCCAAATTCGAGTTTCATTTCACATGCTCCTTGGCAGAAAAGATGCTGGAAGTGAGGCTTAGCGAGTTCTCGTGGTTAACCCTCCCAAAATACATGCAATTGGTATTTCAAAGAAAAGAGTGATTCTGTTACTAGAACATGGACGAGGTAAGGCAATGTTGGGCTCCCTAAGTGGTGAGCATATATTTACTAGAAAGAAGACATACCATTCAAATACAAGATTAAAACCCAGTGCTAACATGAGGGGCTTCTGGAGAGTACAGTCATTCAGGATAACAGAGGAAGAACCCTACTCCCTTTGTTAGGGTTCTCAGTAAGGATTTCTTCCCTGCGTCCTCCCTGAAGCTTTGGTTATTTTGTTTTCTGTTGCTGCTAAAAGATGGAATGAACCAATCTACTGTGCTTAAATATTTGACCAGAAAAATCTTAGTAGAGTTCAAGTAATTTGATGCTGGAATGCCAATGCTGCTTCTATTAAACCTACGTATTTATGCTCATGTTTAGGAGAGCAGCTTTAGTTACAGGTATGTGAAGAAATGGGAAAACTTTTAGACCATTCAGACCATATAAGAAGAATAAAGAACACATTTTAAATTCAGAGCTTATTGGTAGTTCTTTTGGAAAGATCGGTCATTCTCAAACTCCCTTTAATTTCAACTGACCTTGCTCAGAACAGATGCATGAAATGCATATCCTTAGTTCAAATAGATACATTATTGTAACTGATATTAGAAACATCATTTAAACACATAATTATTGATTTTTACTAAATATCTTCAATGTTTATAATCAGTGTCACAGAATTGGTCTTTAACTGTCCATATACTTTCTACATTTATAAAGGTTTGCAACAGGAGATGTTAAAGTTGGAGATGTCAATTGGCAGTAGTGGCATCTTAGCCATATTTGAAAGTATTTTAAAACTAGAGACCCGGTGCATGAAATCCAGCCTGCACCCCCTTGCAGTCCGGGAGCCCTTGGGTGATGTCCGACTGATGGCTTAGGCCCGCTCTCCAGAGGGGGAGCCGTCAGTTGGACATCCTTAGCGCTGCTATGGAGGCGGGAGAGGTTCCTGCTACTGCCACTGCACTTACCAGCCGTGAGCCTGGCTTCTGGCTGAGCAGTGCTCCCCCTGTGGGAGCGCACTGACCACCAGGGGGCAGCTCCTGCATTGAGCATCTGCCCCCTGGAAGTCAGTGCGTGTCATAGCAAACGGCTGTTCGGTCGATGTGCATATTAGCCTTTTATTAAATTGGATTCTAAGCCATTATTGGATAATACCAGCTTTCCCCCTTTATATTGTAGGTTTCGGAGGGCAATGTTTGCCATGTTCAAATGTCAGACTCATCAAACTATGACCACGATGAGCTTTTTACCAATGGATGTACCTCAAACCCATTGACTTCTGGAAGAATCTGAAATAAAAGGAAAGCACAAGTTATCAATATACTTTGTTTACTTTTTTTGCAATATTTTAATTTTACTTAAAATATGAAGCTAGTTAGATCAAATGCAGACATAGATTATTATCCTAATAGACTGAATTCCTTAAATGTAGTTTATAGTTCTGTTTGTGCATTGGCTATTGTAGAGAATGCTTCTTTATTTCTTTATATGTAAACTTATTGCTCATCTCTTTTGATGAATCCAGGTACATAATTCTCTTTTCCCTATCTTGGCATGTAATACTCTGTACCGATGGCCTGGTATCTTGCCTGGGTCCTCCATTAGACCAGAAGTAGCTGCTATGTTAATGTTAAAAAAATAATAATAGTTAATAAATAAATAATAATTAATTAATAATTACTGAAATGAGTTGTTAGCATTTCACAATTTTAAAATCTTAATGTAATTATTAACATACTATTTAACAAAAATGATCAGAGGACTATTAAGTCACATGCCAGTTATTGCATATATATTTTATACAGCAATATAATCTCTGTGCATGTTATTATATAGTCTGCTTTTTAATTATCATTTTTCTATATATGAATTTCTATATATTTGCCACTAGAATTAAGTTTAATCAGAGTGGGGGTTTTTGTATGTTGTTTTTTTTTTCCCTATCTTTTTTGTTTGTTTGAAATTTATTTTATTGTGGTAAGAACATAACATGAGCTCTACCCCCTCAACAAATGTTTAAGTGTATAATACAGTATAAGTACAATAGTGCACAACAGATCTCTAGAACCTATTCACCTTGCTTAACTGAAACTTTATGCCTGTTGATTAGCTGTATGTTTGTTCTTTGATGTGTCCTGAGCATGCACACCCGTTTTGCCTGGCACATAGTAGGCACTCAATAAATATTTGTTGACTGTTGAATAAATTTGTAGTCACATAATTGTCACTTTAAATAACTATTAAGCATAGCAGGATAATACATGATTGTTTAAATAGTGAACATTTAAAATCTATAGTATTTTGTTTTAATTGAGCAAATTCTTCTGACTCTATTGTTTCTATATTCATCCTATTAGTTTTATTTTTTAATTATTCATTTTTTATTTTTTAAAAATATATTTTTATTGATTTCAGAGAGGAAGGGAGAGGGAGAGAGAGATAGAAACATCAGTGATGCGAGAGAATCATTAATTGGCTGCCTCCTGCACGCCCCACACTGGGGATCAAGCCTGCAACCCGGGTATGTGCCCTTGGCTGGAATCGAACCTGGGACCCTTCAGTCTGCAGGCTGACACTCTATCCACTGAACCAAACCGGCTAGGGCCATCCTATTAGTTTTAAATAATATTTCCCATAGTATTCTTACTTTTATAAAATTGATTCTTTTAAAAGAGTTTTTTGTTTAAAGATGATGGATAGAACCACCTAATAGGAAGATTAAATGCCATATATATTTGTGATATATGTTACCTAAACCCTTGATTGTGCCTGTGGATTCTCCCCACCTTATGAGTGTTCAGGTTATTTTTTAACTATTTGATTTACTTTTTATTTTTTGATAGAGCCTAACTTTGCTAAAAGACATACGAGTTTGTCTTTAGCTATGGTTTGATGTCCATAATTTGGGAAACGAGCTTAGAATAAAACATATTCTTAAAAAGAGATAGTAGCTTTTGGTAGAAATAAGAGCTGGGAGGAGCCTTACACTGTGCTGAGATGACCTGCAAGAGCCACAAGATACACTCACTGGAGCCCTAGGTCCACATTTCAGTGGTGGATTGAAGCATTTAGTCTAAAAAAACACAAACAAACCAGAAAAACCCACTAGGTTCCAGACTTTGTCTACTTTGTTTTTGGAGATAGCCAATACTTGGCAATATTGATAACTCTATTCTAAATCAATTTTACATCATGTGCTTCTATCTTTAAAGCTAAATTTTGTAAAACTGATTGTTATGCATGCTGATAAAAAGCAAATGCACAAAATAAAATTTATAATGTTATAATGTAAATCATCTGCTATATGTTCTAGTATCTGCTAAGACATTGAATTGTTTTTAACATTACATGTAGCTGAAAGATGTATTAGCAATTACATCCATAGGAAAGGAATTTAATAGGCATTTCCTTGCAAATCGAGATACGAGCACCTACTGAAATTTTCTTGACATGTGTTTGATTTTCACTTTCTTTATAATGTGTTACTTTGCTGAAACCACATTCAAAGGCTAGGAAGATTGAACCCCTGCAAAATACACTTGAAGGTTAAGTAACTACAGATCTCAGCTAATCCTGTGTAATCTGCTCTTACTAAATGGCTGTTTGCATTCCAGGCACACCAGTCTCTGAATGCTTAGGATTTGGTTTTTACCTGTTGTTCCAATAACCTCTAAAAGGAGCAATGCGTCTCTTAGCATGTCTGGGCGTTGTGCTTAGCTTTTTGGAAGGAGTGAGTTGTTTATGTCCTTCACAGTGCACCTGCGATTATCACGGCAGAAATGATGGCACGGGATCAAGGTATGCTACTAAGTGTTCTAATGATTCTGAGGAAAGGGACCCCCCATCAGCCTTATTTGAAAGCAAACTGTTGATCAGAAATCAGAGAAGAGAAGGTTTAATTTGCATAAGCTTTAACTTAGTTGTGTTAATACTGGTTGCCAATACTATGCTTTTATCTTGAGCAGTTTAGCTCTTAAAAGCCCCTCATTTTTATTTGAGACCTTCAAACACATACAAAAATGTTCATTGCACTTGTGTTCAGAAAAATGTTCATTTCAGGAGGTCAAGCTGAAATGTGTGTGGCCCGCTCAGCCTGATTACAGAAAGCAGGGCCGATCAGGAGGTGCTAACATTCCCAGATCATTTGCTTCCCGAGTTTTCCATTTCATTTCGAGGGTTGTTCATGCCAACTGGATAGACCTTAGAAAGCAGAAAGGACTCTCATAAGAGTGAAATTACAGACGTTCATAATTAGAGTTTTTCATTTTAAGATATTGGAATTTACAAAGAAAAGAGGTTTGAAAGATATGGATCAACTCTATCAGTTGCCGACACTTAGAAGTTATTTAACCTCTGGGTTGCTTTCACATCTACCTGTAAAGTAAAAATAATTGCATACTCATAATATACATGAGTCCTTTGAGATAGAAGTTAAATGAAAAAAGGAACTTTTGTTAGCTAACCATGGTAGACCATGATTTTTTTTAAAGGATATTTAATGACAAAAACAGATTTTTTTGTGACTTGGTTGATGGACTTTTGAGGTTATTTGAATAGTGAGCCTCTTAAAGTAATTTGTTAAGAGTCACTCAAGTTATGTTCTACACCTTTAAACAAATTAATAAAAATTAAAACATATTATTGAGTAGTTTGTCTTGTTATTCTATAAACTTTACTTAAGTAACTCTTGGTATTTTTTTGAAAGATTTACTAGGTGGCTTAAGACAGTGAGAAGAACATAACAAATTAAAAAGCCCTACTTGGCAAAAGCTAGGTAGCAGTTAACAACTCACGCCAGGGTACTTGAGAAACAACACAGAAGTGTTTCCTTCCCCCTGGTGGCCCCATTATTGATGGATTTTATGAAAACCATAGTGTATTATTCTTGGCAAGAGCTCTAGAAAGAATTTAGTTCTGCTGTTATTTTGTAAATGAAGAAACGAAGCCACACAGAGGCTAAAGGACTTGTGCAAGGTCACAGCACGGAGTTGATACAGTGACTGATTGATAAAGACACTGGGTCTTTCAGCGTCCATTCCATTTCAGCTAACATTCCATTACACTGGAATGTTAACTTAATGAGTAGAAATTGGATCATTCTGATCTAAAGTAGCACTGAAATTTGTGATAGAGAGTAGAGATGAAGAATAGGAAGTGTCGCCCTAACCAGTTTGGCTCAGTGGATAGAGTGTCGGCCTGCGGACTGAAAGGTCCCAGATTCGATTCCGGTCAAGGGCATGTACCTTGGTTGAGGGCACATCCCCAGTAGGGGGTGTGCAGGAGGCAGCTGATCACTGTTTCTCTCTCATTGATGTTTCTAACTCTATCTTGCTCCCTTCCTCTCTGTAAAAAATCAATAAAATGTATTTTTAAAAAAAGAATAGGAAGTGTCCTTATAGAATTCCAATGCTTTGTATGGTCTTCCCTTGAAGTTACAGACAGGAGATGCTAGCTAGCAGGACATTGCAGCTTTATGCTGCATTTCCCCTCTTTGCCTTGTGGGCTGCTTTTAAAGTTCACCCACTTAACGTGATATATTTCACTGAATGGCTGATTTGTTGACTACATGTATAATGCATTATAATTTATGTTTCATTGTTCATTTTCAGCAATCCAGTGGAAATGAGTGTACAATGGGAGATAAATAGATCTTTTTTCAAGTTACAATGCATCTAAATTCTCTGATTCTTTATACTTTACACTCACACATGGGACAAGCTTGTTTTTTTATGCCTATTTTACATGTACCACTAAGCAAGGTCACAATGTGACCTGCTCAAGGTCATTTACGTTAGTGAGTGGTGAACGGAATAAACTTGCAGTTTCTGGTTTATTCCTTGGCCTGGAAGCAATGCACAAGACACGTTGTTGAAATAGAGGTCAGCTTTAAGCATCCAGTGTGAACACTTGCTCCTTCCTTCCTTAAAAGAGATCAATTTATAACTTCAACAGGGGATTCTTTAAAAATGGGTCATTTCATAAGGAGGTTAAGTGTACACTTTGGAGTTGGACCAATGTGGGTTGGAAGGTGACTGTGTGACCCACTAGCTATGTAACCTTGGCAAGTTACCTAATGTGGATAGGCCTCAGTTATTTTACTGTAAAAAGAAGATGGACGGTAAAAATAGCAGGCACTCACTGAATGCCTGTTATGTGTCAGGAAGGTATAAAACTTTACATGCATTTCAATGAACCACCCTAACAAAGCTACATGGGAAAAAGAAGTGGGGCAATTGGTGAGGATGGGCTTTGCCACAAAAGAGATGGCATGAGCTTAGATCTGAGCCAAGATTAGACCAACTCCAGAGCTGGTGCCTTTCCCTCTTCCCCAGCATCTACCTCATAGGGCTGTCCGACAACTAAATAAGGTAATGAATATGGTGTGTGTTGGACAGGCCTGACTTACAAAGAACTTCATCAATATTAGGTGAACCATATGAAAATTCTTATAGTTGATCATTTTTAACCTATAGAAATGGCCATTTCATATGGTTTAACATAGAAGAAGATAATGATGACAAATTATTAATGAACAGGTCAGCCAGGCTCCACAAATATTTTGTGAAAACCAGTAAGGAATTTTCAGTTGATGCATGTTTCAAATAAGCATTGTTTTTTTCAAATGGGTCTCGGAACGCAGGTTTCCTCCCACTGCTCTTGTTGTGACACTAGGTCGGTGCTGTGTAATGACCTGGATATGAACGAGCTCCCCCTGAACTTCCCCGTGGACACTGTGAAGCTTCGCATAGAGAAGACCGTCATCCGCACGATCCCCGCCGATGCCTTCTACTACCTGGTGGAGCTCCAGTACCTCTGGGTGACTTACAATTCTGTCTCCAGCCTTGAGGCCAGCAGCTTTTACAACCTGGGGCAGCTGCATGAGTTGCGCTTGGATGGGAATTCTCTAGCTGCCTTCCCTTGGGCATCTCTGCTGTACATGCCCCATCTAAGGATCCTGGATTTGCACAACAACCAAATAACGAGTGTGCCAAATGGGGCAGCCAGGTACCTGAAGAACCTCACCTACTTGGATTTATCAAGCAACAGACTAACCACACTGCCACCAGAATTCCTGGAGAGCTGGTCCCATGTACTTACAACACTGTCCAGAAGCCGGAAGCTTTCACCAAGAAGAATTATTCTTGGTAAGCTCACAAGCCTCTGCTCCCCTCAGGTCCAGATAATTTGCTCAGCATATTGCTCAGTTGTGCAATCTTTTCATGTTTTTGAGTTTGGTTTCTTACTCTGTACTTGCACTTTGCATGGAATAGCACTTCATCAGTTGACCTAAGTCAATTTACCCATCTGTCCTGGGTAGGTATAATGGTTGTGTGTGTGTGTGTGTGTGTGTGTGTGTGTGTGTGTGTGTGTGTGTTCTGGTGTGTTGAAGTTGGGAGGAGAGTTGGTTTCATACACTCAGAGACTAATGCTGCTATTAGAGAGCCTGGAGCTGAGTGACAAAATCCACCAACCTCCGCTGGTTCTTCTGAGCACACTGATGCTCCATCCTGCCACGGTCAACCTTCTGCTCTGGTCTCTTTTCAACCCTTCACCAGCTTCTCCAGGAGGGGAGAGGGGCATTGCCATCTGTATGAGGTGGCAGTGGTTTAATTAGTTAGGTAGGATAGTAGCCAAATTTTTGTAATCTAAAAAGAAATGATGAAGACTCCAGTTATTTTACTGGCCCCAAATAGATCTCCTAATGCACATAGTTTCTTAGTTTAGTTGTGATTAGTTTTATATATTTCAATCTTGACTTTGTTTAGGTTCTAGGAATACTTGCCTTGGGTGTTTTTTTTATTTTATTTTTTATTTAGCCCTGACCAGTTTGGCTCATTGGCTAGAGCATCGGCCAGTGGACTGAGGGGTCCCAGGTTCAATTCCGGTCAAGGGCATGTACCTTGATTGCGGGCACATCCCCAGTGGGGGGTGTGCAGGAGGCAGCTGATCGATGTTTCTCTCTCATGGATGTTTCTAACTCTCTATCCCTTTCCCTTCCTCTCTGTAAAAAATCAATATAATATATTTAAAAAAAATAAAAATTAAAAATCTATATTGTTGAGATATTGCCTTCCTCCACCTGGATCCTGCCACACATCAGGCCTTCACCACCCTATTGTCTGTGTCCATGGGTAATGCATGGATGTATATAAGTTCTTTGGTTAATTTCTTCCCGCTCCCCCTCCCCCTTCCCTCTGAGATTCATCAGTCTGTTCCATGTTTCCATGCCTCTGGTTCTATTTTATATATCAGGTTTTTTGGTTCATTAGATTCCTTGTTCATTTATTTTTACTTTCAGATTCAATTGTTGATAGATATATATTTACTGCGATTTTATTATTCATATTTTTAAATCTTTTTTCTTCTTCTTAAAGAAGACCATTTAACATTTCATGTAATATTGTTCATATTTTTAAATCTTTTTTCTTCTTCTTAAAGAAGACTCTTTAACATTTCATGTAATACTTGTTTTGTGGTGAAGAACTCTTTTAGCTTTTTCTTGTCTGTGAAGTTCTTTATCAGACCTTCAATTCTAAATGATAACTTTGCTGGGTAGAGTAATCTAGGTTGTAGGTCCTTGCTATTCATCACTTTGAATATTTCTTGCCACTCTCTTATGGCCTGCAAAGTTTCTGTTGAGAAATCAGCTGACAGTTGTATGGGTGCTCCCTTGTAGATAACTGCTTTTCTCTTGCTGCTTTTAAGATTCCCTCTTTGTCTTTAACCTTTGGCATTTTAATTATGATATGTCTTGGTATGAGCCTCTTTGGATTCCTCTTGTTAGGACTCTGTGCTTCCTGGCCTTGTATGTCTATTTCATTCATCAGGTAAGGGAAGTTTCCTCTTATTATTTTTTCAAGTAGATTTTCAATTTCTTGCTCCCTCTCTTCTCTTTCTGGTACCCTCATGATCTGGATGTTGATACACGTGAAGTTGCCTCAGACTCTCCTTACACTATCTTCATATTTTTGGATTCTTCTTTCTTTTTGCTCTTCTGAGTGGGGTTTTTTAATGCTTCCTCATATTTCCAAATCATTGATTTGGTTCTCAGAATCCCCCATTGAATCCCTGTAAATTATTCTTTATTTCAGTTAGTTTATGCTTAATTTCTGACTGGTCCTTTCTTGTCTTTGAAATTCTCATCAAGATCCTTGAAAGTCTCACTAAGTCCCTTGAAGCTCTCATTAAGATCCTTGAGTAACCTTATAACCTTGTTTTGAACTCTGTTTCCAGTATTTTGCTTGCTTCCATTTTTTTTCATTTGTGACATGTTTCTTTGTCTCTGCATTCCGGTTGCTTCCATGTTTGTTTCTATATATTAGGTAGAGCTGCTATGTATCCTGGAATTGGTAGAATGGCCTTATGTAGTAGGCATCCTTTAGAGCCCAGTGGCTCAGCCTTCCTAGTCACCTGAGCTGGGCCCTCTAGGTGCACCCATGTGTGGCTGTGTGCACTGTTGTGTTGTAGTTGAACCTTGATTGCTATTTGGTCCCTGGGAGGTATTGACCCCCAGGCCAATTAGCTATGAGGACCAGCTATGATTATAGTGCAAGAGCTGCTGTGCAGGAGACACCCCTATGGAACAGGACTTGCTTCAGTGGAGCTTTGGTGCTCTCCAAGTCTGCCCCTTAAGTGGGTCATACGTGGATGTGGTAGGGTTGTAATCTGGCATAGTCTGAAGCTGACCACCGGGTGTACTGTCTCTGGGGCCTTTCGGGAGATACAAAATCAGCTACTGCTTGTGCCCTGCATGGGGCCACCTGGCACAAGCTACAGAGTGATCTGCAGATAGTTACTACTTGTGTTGGGCTTGGAGGTGCCCCAGAGAGGCCAAGCTATGAACCAAGGCAGGCTGCTGCTAGTGCTGGGCCTGGGGCCACTTATCAAGAGGTATGGGACATGCTGATGCCAGCTGCTGCTTGTTTGAGAGATTTTAGGAAAGTCTGAAGCCTGAGCAAGGATAGGCCATTCATATAGAAAAACCACTGCAAACAGCTTGGGTGAGGTGGGGTCTAAGGGAATCACCAGGTCTGGGTGAACAGTGTGGGCCAGACACTCAGATATGGTGACAGCCTGTCAGCACTGTGGTGGGAAAGTCTCAGCAAAGGAACAATGACTTCTTCTAGCACCTTTGTCTGGGAGTAAGTTGCCCCCTAGTTTTTGACCTGATGCCAGACAAATTAGTTCCTCCCTGTATGTCCCTGGATCCTTTAAGAGCTGATGGGGCTCAGAGGGAGTGAGTCCAAGTAAATCTATGCTCTGGCCCTTTAAGAGGAATGCCTGGTTCTCCAGCAGCCTCTGTCACTCAGCCACAATTCCCGCTGGTTTTTATAGCCCAAAGTTATGGGCATTTCTCTTCCTGGCATTGGAACCCTGGGCTGAGGGGTCTAGTGTGAGGCTGGACCCCTTGCTTCTCATGAGACATCTTCACAGCCAAGATAGCCCTCTTGATTAAAAAAAAAAAAGCCATGCTTGGGTGTGGGACCAGCCTTTTACATGCCTCTGCTCCTCTTACCAGACTCAATGTGCTTTATTCTTTAACTAGAGGCCCAGTGCACAAAATTTGTGCACCGGGGGGGTGTGTCCCTCAGCAAAGCCTGCACCCTCTCCAATCTGGGACCCCTTGTGGGATGTCCGACTGCCCATTTAGGCCCGATCCTGGTGGGATTTGGCCTAAACGGGCAGTTGGACATCCCTCTCACAATCCAGGACTGCTGGCTCCCAACCGCTCGCCTGTCTGCCTGCCTGATTGCCCCTAACCGCTTCTGCCTGCCAGCCTGATCACCCCCTAACCACTCCCCTGCCACCTGATCAACACCTAACTGCCCTCCCCTGCAGGCTTGGTCGCCCCCAACTGCCCTCCCCTGCCAGCCTGGTCACCCCAGACTGCTCTCCCCTGCCAGTCTGGTTGCCCCTAACTGCCCTCCCCTGCAGGCCTGGTCCCCCCCAGCTGCCCTCCCCTGCAGGTCTGGTCCCCCCCAATTGCCCTCCCCTGCTGGCCTGATTGCCCACAACTGCCCTCCCCTGCCAGCCATCTTGTGTCCACATGGGGGCGGCCATCTTGTGTGTTGGAGTGATGGTCAATTTGCATATTATTTTTTATTAGATAGGATTCTCTAGTATCATTCATCCAGATTTCAGGCAGTTCTGAATGATGGTTGTTCTGTGGATTAGCTGTAATTTTGATGTGGTTGTGGGAGGATGCGAGTACTGCACCTACCTACACCGCTATCTTCACCTGGTCTTTCTGTCTTGGGTTCTTAAAATGTAAACTCCCTCAGACCTGTGTTGTCAGTTCACAAAGTGTGTCCATCAGGGCTGAAGATGAGGCTGTACTTCTAAATAACTAGTGAGCCTTTGGCTAGTGAGGTGACTTATAACCCTTTTGGAGTGAGAAGCAACTAGAGGCTAAATTTGTGCCAGGAAACCCTATTGACCATATCAAATATTGGCTGAAGTCAAGTATGAAGAAAAGATAATTTGAGATTTTTTTTAATAAAAAAGAAAATGCTGTGACAGCATATAAATGGATTTAGCATTGCTTTTGTTGAAATGTAAATGCTTTTTGGTGCTTATGAAACTAAAACCATGAGTCATCCTATCTAATAAAGAGGTAATATGCAAATTGACCATCACTCCAACACAAGGTGGCCGACCCCATGTCATCAAAGATGGCCACCACAAGATGGCAAGCAGGGGAGGACAGTTAGGGGTGACTGGGCCAGCAGAGGAGGGCAGTTGGGGGCGACCAGGCCTGCAAGGGAAGGCAGTTGGGGGGACCAGGCCTGCAGGGGAGGGCAGTTGGGGGTGACCAGGCCTGCAGGGGAAAGCAGTTGGGAGTGACCAGGCTGGCAGGGGAGGGCAGTTAGGGGCAACCAGGCTGACAGGGGAGGACAGTTAGGGGAAATTGGGCCAACAGGGGAGCAGTTAGGCATCTATTAGGCTGGCAGGGGAGTGGTTAGGGGGTGATTAGATTGGCAGGCAGAAGCAGTTAGGGGCAATCAGGCCAGCAGGCAGGCGAGCAGTTGGGAGCCAGCAGTCCCGGATTGTGAGAGGAATCCCCGCTTGGAGAGCGTGCAGGCTGGGCTGAGGGACACCCCCCCTCCCCGTGCACGAATTTCATGCACCAGGCCTCTAGTAAGAA